TACTAGCGAAGCTGTTCACCCATTTCTTCTCACATGGCGAAGTCCCCAACGATAGGAAATGCGGTACAATTACGCCAGTCTACGAAGGCGGCAAGCGTACGGACGCCGTCAAATACGGACCGATAATACTACTCTCTATGATTTCCAAAATGCTGGAATCGATCATCACCGATGCTTTAATGGACCATCTTGAGGCTTGGAAACTGCTTTCTGACTGCCAGCACGGTTTGCGACGGAAACCGTCATGCCTGAGTAATTTGCTACTCGCACGGGATAGCTGGACGACTGCGGTTGACACCGGCCTGGAAACGCAAGCCTTCTCCTTAGATTTCGCCAAGCCTTTTGACAAAGTGAAGAATACCAGCATAACGCATAATCTGTCTTTCTACGGTGTCTCTGGGGCCTTAATAGACTGGATCCGTAACTATTTCCACCACGGTACCGTCCATGTACACGTCGTCAAAGCGCTGTTCTAACGTATCGCTGTGACAAGCGGAGTTCCACAGGGGTCTGTTATTGGATCGGAATTATTTGTTATCCATCATCGATGATGTCAAAACACAAGTCGAGTCCTCGATACTGCTCTACGCCGATGACGTGAACTTGTGGTATACGATCAATGTTCCAGACGATACCCGCGCCCTTCAGAGACCACAACGGTCTGCACCAGTGGTCACTGGAAAACAACCTCGCGTTTAAATTTTTGAAATGTCGCGTCCTTTCCACCTGCCCTTACGCTTCTCCAATATACTTCCTGAGAGTGTCTGCTCACCAGGTATCCCCAGCTGAAAGTGATTTGGGTATTATCACCCTAACCGACCTTCCAATCTCTGCTACCTTCTGAAAAGCAGCCTCTGCTGCTGACCGTATGCTCGGACTGTTAAAACGTACCTTTCGCCAACCCGACCTGCGGAATTTCCGCCTCCTCTTAAACGCCTTTCTACGTCCTTACTTGGAGTTTGCTATTCAGACTTAGAGCCCCTGGTTGTTCAAAGATCAGCGTTTGCTTGAAGTTTCACAACATCGAGCGACAAAATTAGTACGGGGTCTCAGGTAGCTAGATTATCCACAACGGCTCCGTTGCCTTGGTCTTTTCTCCATGAAATACCGATGGTTTCGAGGCGACTTGATCCTCGTATCTGCAATCCTGTCCAATCCTGGACACTCCTGCTGCTACTTACTGAAACCGCACCACTGATGATCCCATCTTCGTGGTCACCCACTCCGGCTCACACATCTGCACAGCCGAGTGAACTGCAGGCGACATTTCCTTGCTCTGCGTGTCTGCCGACCGTAGAACGCTCTGCCTGCCTACGTAAGCTCAGCAGCTACTGTGGAAGATTTGAAGACTAGCCTGGGCCGTTATCTTGCCTACCTGTATCGTGCTTTTTCTTGAGCCAAGTATCTGCAGTTTGGAATACCCCAGACTAATCCCAGTCATCTCCATTGTCACTTCTCACCAGGCGCAACGGCTTGTTCTTCCACCCAAAAGCTACCGATTTACATGTTGTTGGAGACATTTTCCTTTATGCTACTCTTTTTCCTTAACCAGTTGTATCAGGGGGCGTGGTGGGGTGTCACGCATCGAGCCATCGTACATTCTGTGCAAACGCCACATAGGCCCGATGAAGATATGGCTAACACGCGAATGCAACCCCCCATAAGGTTACTAGGCCTTTCCATATAACCAGACCCTCTATTTCTTTACTGGTCATGTAAAGCTCCAGCTTTTTTCCCATGAAATACAATGTTCCAGTGTATGATTAGATTTCAAGTAAGACGAAACAGGTAAGTAGGGCGACAATATGGGGTAAAGTGAAATGGTATGTCAGACACCGCCTCGTATCTGAATCGCGGTGGAACAGCGGTTGAGAGGGAAGTTCACTATCGGTGATGTGGGACGGAGTTGTAGTTTTAATGCACCAGCTTGACTAGCATAGCATAAACTATAAGCGCTGTGATTCGCTAACCAAAATAGCGCTAACGCGACGCCGCACGATCCGGCTGAGAGGGAATATGCCCACATTTCGTGCGATCTTCCAAAGCCGTGGAAACTTGAAGAAATGTCTGAACAGATGTAATATGCGTATGTTACTGGCTTTAAATTGAAAGTTATCGCACTTATCGAGCAATCGGGTAATTGTATGGCCGCACACCATTTCATGGTGAATTAAAAGCAAGTGAGACAATAACGAAAGGCATAGTCAAACTTGTCAATAATGCCTGTAGGCAGGAGAGTAGCACGCGGTAGAACAACCTAGTTTCCTGCACTGGAGGATAATTTACCGCAGTGGGTTTTGGAGTCACGGCTCATCGGGTTAATTGTTACCCGAACGGGCATTTGTATCAGGGCGCTCGTAATGTTAAAAAGTTCGCAATTCCAGCCATCAAAACTGGCTAATTTTTCGCTTCCTCTGGAGGGTGCAATCGTTTTATGAACCGATTTGACAAGTGCCTACGGACCCGCGCAAAGCTAGCCCAGGAATTGCCGAAGGAATTAGACAGTAAATTTGGATCATTGCAAAGGTTCATGATTCAGCTGAAAAAGCAATACGACTTTGAATCGTCACAAATAGGAAATAAGGATGAGACTCCCGTGTGCTTTGAAATGCTTTCAAAAAGCATGGTGTAGCAGGAAGGTGCTAACACAGTTTTTGTAAAGACGACGAAACACGAGAAGATACGGTTCACAGTTGTTTTAGGGTGTATGGCGGATTCTTTCCGTCTATCGCCTATTACTATTTGTAAGCGTAACACGCTGTCAAAAGGAGAGCAGTTCCCAAGCGGCGTGTTTGTGTGAACCCACACGAAAGGATGGATGGGTGAGAGTGGTACTATAGACTGGATGAATACAGTTTGGGGAAAGCGAAGAGGCGCGCTTTTAAAGCGAGTATCTATGCTAGTTTGGGATTCCTTTAGGGCACCCCGAAAGGAGAACAGGAGGAACGATTCAGTGAACCAAATTCATCCGTGGCTTTAATTCCCGGTGGACTTACATCAATCTTGCAGTCACTGGATGTCTGCCTCAATAAGCCCTTTAAAGATTGGCTTTGGGGCCAGGGAAATTGAACGGATGGCATCGTCTGCTTTAGCGTTGGTGAAGGGCAGCAATGTGAAAAGATTGACATTGTTACAATTGGAGAGTGGGTGAAAGAAGCATGACTGGATATGCCAGCAGCAATTATCGCACGCTCATTCATAAAGTGCTGCATCAGTAATGGAATGGATGGAAGTGAGGACGGTGCTATTTTTAGGAATACGACAGTGACGTTAGCAGTGAAGTTGAAGATGACGAAATTCACCCTGACGTCCCAATGACAGACGACAAATACCAGAAACTGTCTGGAGATTCGGACTCGGATTCTAGTTTCGAAGTGTTTGAGTGATTTTGATACGCTTGTGCAGCGTTTGGATATGTGAGCCTATAAAATCTACCGGTACTTGTTGTTCCGTCATTTTCCCCTGATGTTATTGTGTGTGTTGGTGTTCGATTCTGTATAATCAGTATGTTTATGTTACTACCATCCGTCTGGGATACCGTCTGTCACTAGCTAGTGGTGCTTAGGCAAGATAGAGGCAGTGTGCAGTGAAGTTCTGGGTGGACGTTGCATGTGATTTTTCAAATTGCCTATAACCTCTATATAGGCTGACCCCCCACTAGAGACAAGAAAAATTGTCCAAAATTCCTCCGCTTATACATGGTAATATATGGTACTTTGCTTGGTGGATGAGATTATTTGGTGTCTTGATGATGGGATTCCGGTGGAAGTGTGTACCTCGACTCTAGTAAAGCTGTCGAATCTGGAAATCACAGTGTCTTACATGAGAAATTGACATGGTTTGGATCGCAATCTAAACTTCCGTTTTGGGTGTGCGAATTCATATGTAACAGCAGGTTTCGAGTTAGAGTCGGTAAGTAGTGCCCAAAAAGCTAACTGCTAGCTTTCATGTACAATTTAATTGTTGACCGACTGTACGTTATTCTTCCTTGTTTTAATCTTCCTTACAACCGGCTCGACACTCGCCCGCCTTGTAAGTTCCCGCGCTCAAGGGTTGGCTCTTGTCTCGCTTCATCCGTCCGCGTCTTGTTGTAGCCCATCGAATACAGTCCGCTGTGTCCGACTCTAATTGCCTTCTGATATCCGCGCTTAATTTCGCTCTCCGTCTCGGACTAGTATCAACTAGTCCTACACCATCCGAAAACCATGTTAAGCGCATGAGAGCATATGCAGGTTCTCTAGGTGAAGATTTGGGGACCTATTAATAATTCTTTCCATGATTTTACAAATTATCGATGGGATGCAGATCGGCCGGTATTTCGCAGGGTCCTGATAATCTGCTCCCTTGTATCTGGGCCTCAGAGTACCCAGTTTCTAAGCCCACGGATGGTATCCGTCGTGTAGGGATTGCCGAAAATCTTGGCCAACAAGAGAAGCAATGTGCTGAGACACCGTCTGGAAGAACAAAAGGTGCAGATCATCGGTGTTCGCTCTCGTCTCGCTTCATCCGCCCGCTTCTTATTGTAGCCCATGGAATCCAGTTCGCTGTGTCCGACTCAAATTGCCTTCTGATATCCGCGCTTAATTTCGCGCACTGTCTCGGGCTAGTGTTAAATACTCCTACAAGCTCGATTTGACGTTACTCAGTGAAAATAATCTGATACACGAAGCCTGTGTAGTTCGTGGATATTGACTTGACACGACCAGAACAACACCAGAAATGCAAGATGCTCGACACGCAAACCTAGAAAAGGACGATGAATGGAAACACATTAACAAACAAACTGCCTGTTGATGGTCTGGTCTTGGAGCAAAAGCATAAGCTGCTTATGTTTGTTGAGATAAAAATACACTATTGAAAATTTTATTGTGGAAATTACGATGATCATTGCCCCTTTGAGTTACAGGGTATAAGACAACAAACAAAGAAACCCTTCTAAAAACTACGGTTCGCAACGATTGCTTTTTGTTGGAAAATACTGTTTTGTTTTACTCAGCAAACCGCGGCGCAGTAACTAGCACCCTTAGAAAGCGGTATTTTAAAATGGAAATCAGTTCCACTCCTGGGAAATTCTTCTCCGACAATGATAGAGTACAATGCTCCGATGGATACATTTTAGAATTTATACAATCCATCAGTAAGTTATACTGAAATAAAATACGTTGTGTGCGAGGCCAAAATGATATAAACAATGCGCTCTTCGAGGAGACCTTAAGCTGCTTTACTGTGAATGGAACGGTCATTGGATCATATGAAGTATAGTAGTTTTATTTATTCTAAAAATTAAGTGCAACATAGAGTTTGGCTCTTGGGATCTTTGGAACGGCGATCTATTGCATATAAACGGAAGCAGTAATATTATAAGTGAGGGAACGCGTTATGCTGTTACGTTGGATGCATACATTACCAAAAGCTGTGATACAATATTGCAGAAACTGAAAGAAGAAATCAGTGTAAGTTGTTTTGCAAGTCGTTTTACGATTGCAGTTTAAACAGAGTGTGATTCTCAAGGAGAGTGTATTAAGGAAGACAGTTAGTGGATATGAGGTTCACAGAGAAATAACCGAGGATGGAGTTAAAACTAGTGAAGTTTTTTACTACACTGTGGGCTGCCTTGCTGATTTTCATTCTGAGGCAGCAAACATCTTACTGCTGAGGTTATTAGCACGAAAAGGTTTCAACGGCCGTTTTGAGACACGTGGTCTAGATGCCGAATGTTTTCCTTGCATGATCTCGTACGTAAGTCAGTGATTTCATTATTTACTTCTTGTCAAAGACAGAACTAGACGACCTAACCTTGTCGGTAGGGGGTAAGGAGGTCACTGTTTTTGGGATCGAACGAAACATACACGCTGTTAAAGGCATACCATTCTCCTGGCAGTATTACCTTCTGAAAGATGGGTAGGTTCACATTTACGTGAAACTGTATATAATAATTTGGAAAAACGACATTTGAGATTTACTACGTTTCATATTTTTATCATGCTTAAATAGACCAAGACGTAACAATGCGACAGCTGTCTTGCATCTTAATGCTGCTGTGCGCTAATTGGTGTCCCAAATGTTAGTACTTGTAGACTACACAAATTACTTATATGTTCTGAGTATTTATTTCGAGTAGTTAAAGTGAAATGTTAACTTTTTAAATTGAAGCGGCCTATTATAAGGCGTGTTATGGTATTCCACTGCTTTATATATAAATATATAAATATATAAATATATATATATATATGTATACATTCAAAACCTTGTCCACAACACATTCGTAACAACAAAAGAGGGGAGAAACAGCAGTTAGGGGGGCAAAATAGTTGCGTATATATCAACATACTGAGGCTGAGGTTGCATTCTTGATGCTTTTTCACCGCAGTGGGGCTAAACCAACTTACACTTAAACTAGGTCATTTTAACCTGGCTAAATTTCATTCCACTTTATTTGGTTTGTTCTGCTTACCTGAATAATCTTCTACTAACTGGCCACGTTGCTTACGCTAATTGCGATTATCTTCGGTATCTTTGTTGCTTTTGTAGCATTTTTAAGTAACTTGTGAACATTTTTCCTTATGGCGGATTCGTTGTTAGCTAACTTACTTCAGATGCTAATTTAGCGACGCGTTAGGCAGTCCCGTCTTTATGCATTATTGGATTTATGTTATTTTATTTTGTCGTTTCAAGTGATTGGCTGTTGTTTGATATCCCCGATGTGGATGCGCTTGATGTGCATGTTGACAAGGTGCCTACCTGTCTATTACCAACTACCTCGTCCATACTGGCTCCAATAGACAGTTGGTCGTTACTGCAGCGAACGGAACGCACGGTCCTCGTGACGGTGCTAGGCGCGAAGAGTGGTCCCATGCACTCAGTGTGGAGCGGACTACGGTCCAGTCACCGCCTTGTGTGCACTTGATTCCCCAAATACAGCGTGCTTTTGTTTGCCTGTGAAGGAGTGTGGACCGGCTCCGTTGATGAAACGTGGTTCCCATCCGCATGCCTCCCGGTCTTATTCCTTCTGGTTTACACTGGAAATAGGGTTTGTGGTTGGAGCTGTGGGTGGTGCAGCGCAAGCCACGCATGGTCCCTCTGTAGGCGCAGGCGTCCTGTGGCTGGCCACAGTGACAGGCAAATTCGAAACCGGATGCCGCCACTCGTCTAGTGATTAGGCCTAGAGACAAAGAAAACTATGGGATTCACTAAAAGAAGCAAGATTTAATCAAAGTATCATCATCATGTTACCTTAATTGAAGGTGAGCAACACACTTTAGCTGTCGTGCTTAACCAAAACACTGAACATTTTCTTGTTATTTTGCACAAAGGAATCTTTTCTTTTTATGTCATGTGCAACTGGGAATTATTAGGCATTCTCATAGCAACAAATATGTACGCGGATCCTCTACCGGTCTTAATGGCGTGTCTCACCTTGAATTGTTTCCAAGTATCGGCACTTCTTGTCCTTTGATACCCAACCAGGCGGAGGTGTCAATCCAACAGCAGCAAGAAATGCTGCCAACGATCTCATTTTCTGTCGCTAAGTGGACCACTGACTAACGCATGGTCACTTCCAGTCAAGACATGCAAGATCAAAACGGGCGCGATCGGGCCAAAGCATAGGGGACATTCGCAGGACGGGACCGAGCCATCTTACCTGTTGAAGGAATACTATCATTCAATAAGACACGACGTCCGACTTCACTGTAGCTGATACGCCGTTGTCACAACACCCGGGCAGTGAGCTTCAAGCACTTACCATTAAAATGTCGAGAGCCGGTGCTCCAGCAAAGCGAACTGGCCGATTCACTGCCTTACAGGAACACGTTTACCATTGGGCAACATTCAGCGCTCCGCGTTTTTTGAAAGGCCGTTGCAACTCAACTTCCATTATTCGTTGAGTTCATTGAGTTGTGGGGAACATAGGGAAGACCTTAGTCGACCACATTGATTCCAAAGCGTTGTGAGTTTAATACTCACCTTGCTTTCCTCAAACTAATACACCTATGACGTTGTTGTTACGTCAGTCACAACCTAAAATTCAGGGCATGGAATGCTTTTACCCTGACGGTTTTGCTGTATAGCTGTGAGACCTGGCGTGTTTGCTTTAAAGGCATGAGATACTTGGCGGTTTTTAACAACTACTGTCTTCAAAGGATTGCTTGGTGTGGTGACAACTTTGCTTAAGCAATACAAATGTTCGTGAACGAGTGCTTAGAGCGAACAGCTCCAGCGTACAACAAGTTGTTCTCCGACACCATATGCGTCGGCTTGGCCACGCAATGCGGATGCCAGCTTATCGCCTTCCCCGACGTACGTTACGTGCGCTTCCCGGAAGCAAATGGATAATGTGTCGCGGTAGACAACCAATGTCGTGGTAAAGGAATATGAAGTAAGGAGCCAAAAGTTTTGCTTTAGTCGGATCCGTGAGCTTTCCAGGTTGTGGACCGAGTGACTCGGAATTCCTGTTGTTGGAACTGCTAGATGTGCTAGCATGTAACAGACAGCAGTGGCGCTAGTGTTGTTGTGCCGTTTTATCCGTTGTTTATTCCTAAGTATATATTTATGTGTTTAAAAATAAAAAAGCTCAAAACTGCTTGTGTGAAACCCCAAAAGACTGTCTGTTTGTTTGGTTACTTTCGTACGCCCATTATCACCCATTTTGCCATTTTCTGATAGTAAATTCTCTGCGTACATACGTATATATATATATATATATATATATATATATATACCCGCAAATGCGTTATGACGTTCCTTGAGGATTTATTGTAGTTGCGGTTACGTCAGCAAGATCCAAGGATTCTCATCGGAGGGTCGTCTAACAGCCGCTGGTAACTTTCCTCAGACGGTTAGTCCACAGTTTCCTTCTGTAAGCAGTTCTAGTCATTCTCTTCCTTAGTGGAACGAGTGACATCCATATAAATTTGGTGCTTTTATTTAAACAGCTGCCATCCGTGACTTTGTGTGAAACAGTCGGCATTGGTTTGAAAAAAAACTGTTGTAACTCACATCTGAGTACTCGTTGTAGGAGACCTCTAGTGTAGACAAAGTCACTCCGGTGAGGACAGAACTTTATGGAGAACAAATGCAACACCTAGAGTTGAATGAGGTATGAGAGCTCAAAAAGCCCCGGAACAGATTCAACGCACTTTGCAGAGCCTTTTCCAGCATAGCGTATTCAAACGTTGAAAGCGGTTGGACAGCGCCTGGACTATATTATAAGATTCAACAATGTACGAGCTGAACAGTGCTTGAGAAATCTCATGTCATGCGATCAAATTATCTGTTTGATGTATCTACCAACTTTCTTCCAATGGCCACCTTAAAAGTCGTTTGTGATGTGCTAAGGTCAGAAGACACGATAAACAGGAGCTTTTTTGTGTGTGGTATTCCCGAGTAAAAGCATTAACGTGATTGCAGTATTGTCTATTGAGATAACAGCACATTTATTTCGATCGGTTGGCAGTCACTACTTGTTAGACCACTTGATTAGCTGGGTTAGAGCACCCTGTAAGCTGTCCGCAGCTTTAAGGCTGTACACTAGCTCAAGGTCATTGGTGTAGATAAAACAGTCGGTTTGTCGTGCAGTCAATAGGTGGTTGACGTGCAGTTTGATGTACACTGGTCCAAGTGCGTATTTTAGAGGGTTGCCTATTCCGGGAGCCCAGAAAGCGATTCGAGAAGACGGATCGAGTTGCAGGGAAACTTTTATTGGTTAAGCAAAAGATTCCCTGTTAGCTAGCTATAAATGAACGACACCGTGGACGCTCTAGCTAGGGGAACGGATCAAGCACAGCACACAGAGCAGTCGCGCGTTGCAACCGAAGCGAGCGCCAAGCAAAAATGGCGATGAGCAAGTAAAGCATTCGAACTCAGCAAGCAGTTCAACAAACCACACCGGTTGCCTAAGTGTACAATTATAGAATTTTGGTTAGAATTTTACACAGGCAAACCGGGGAATCTCCAGACTGCTACATAGCCCTCTCCCAGAAGGGACTGTGTAAGCAGTCCTTCGATCTACGTGAGGACTGTCCGTCGCGGGCCAGCCTTCTGCGAGACCAGGTTGTGAAACCCGATGCAGCTGCTGGGGGAGAACCATGCAATCGGACCCTAGCGGGCTCCCACCCGTGTCCTCATGATGACTGATTCAGTTCGGGACTTAGGAATAAAGTACACCAACCCTTTTAATTTCTCCGAACACGTATTTATCAGGTTGCGAAAGCAAGGCAGCTACGCGGATATATCACCAGAATTTTTTCCCTACCTGAAGCACGACTTGAGTCATTCAAGACAATGGTACGACCGACTCTGGAATGTTGTACTATCGTTCACAGCCAATTGAGAAAGAAAAACAGAACGGCTCTGGACAATGTCCAACGATCTTTTACCAGGCTGGTCAAGGGCCGGTGCACAAACCTGAGTTATTATTATCGTTGTTGATAACTCCAAATGGATGCTCTTTGGCTGAGACGCTTAAAGAACAACCCTGTTCTCTTCTACAACATTGTGAATCAACGAATTTACTCAGACAGCGCTACACTTGAACTACGGAAGACTGCATTCTACCCCACACGTAATGGCGGCTACCAGGTACGCACAAAGCTTGTAAATCCAAACTCGATCTAATTCCTTCTTAGGGAGATACACTGATCTGTGGATCAAATTACCCCTACAGACACGCATGAATGCAAGCCATGTCACATTTCGAAATTCTCTTCAGACGTTCCCCACTATATCAAATGTGTTGAAGGTCTTTGACTCACAGCAAACACCAGAAACATTGACAGAAGCTGGTATAAAAATCATATGAGCAGGTATTCGCTTACAACTAGCTTAGCCACTACAAGTCATTACCTACAATACCAAATTCTGTGTCTCTTCAGCCTAGTATCCCCACCCTTTTACTATTTATT